TACTTTTATTTTTAAATACAGAAATATTTTGTCTTTTTTTAATCATAATAACCTGTTAATGACAATTATGATGAATAAGTCGCTGTAGTTTGGGTTGAGCTCACACCTACAGGCTGCATGTATCATCTGTAATAGACCGACTACTAATTTATTGAAATCCAACCAAATGAATTATCAATACTTGGTATCTGGACTTTATATCCGCATGTACCAAAAATGGAAATACTCTTTCTTATATTTGTTTTCATGAATTTTGGAAAACTAGAAAAACTAATGCTGTTCTCTCCATATAGATCCAGGTTAGTACCTGTCGTCCAACTCGTGCCCGTTTGTGTAGGTGACTTCACACTGTTACTGTGTTTGTTCTTTCAGCATGGCACTCCTCCGCTGCTGATTGCGGCCGGTTGTGGCAACATTCAAATCATTGAGGTGCTGATGAGGAAAGGTGCAGAGATCCAGGCCCAGGACAAGGTGAGGACTAGTCTGTTTTGTTGTGATCATCGACTCTTAGATTTTGCCTTTTTAATAGACCCCCATTGAAGGCGTAACGGCTGCAGAAGCGAAGGCTGTAGGATGTGATTAAGACAGAGCCCATCAGTACTATAAATAGATGCACAGATGAACCCAGCGCCCTTAGCTGTCTTCGCTGCACATCCACGAAACAGGGTACTGAAGATACCAAATACTGAAGTATTTGGTATCTTCATAGATTATATTGGCAAAAATCCAAAGGTTATACAAAGCAGGTACAATTTCATCTGTTCTGTAGATTAGATTAGCTGTGATTAGATTAGACTTTATTGATCCAACACTGGAGATATTGACATGCTGCAGCAACAACAGGACAGAGGTAGAATAATAAACAATAACACGATAAAACAACATCTTTTAAATTAAAATACTATACATTTTAAACAAGGGAAAATTGCTGAGATCTGTATTATTGCAGCATTTATTGTTTAGTTCAGTGTTTCCCAATCTTTTTTTAACCACGGCACATGTATATCATCAGGAAAAAAAACCCACACAAAAAGTACATGTAATAAAATATAATAATTATACTGTTTAGTTGAACACAATGCTGATATACTGGCAGGAATTGAAGAAAGTCACTCACAAAGATCTTCTTCAACAGCTCTAATTTATTAATTTGATTGATTGATGATTTTTTTGTTTTTGTTTTCATAGCCATCTGCTGCCACCTAGTAGAAGAGGATTTAACTGTTCTGCCTTCCATGCTTTGACGAGCAAAGAAAAATTATATGCAGTAAATAAATAATAGTTTTCAGACCAGTTAAGTAAAATTGGGTAATTTTCCAGGGCACACCTAATGATCTCCCACAGCACACTGTGCCACAGCTCAGTGGTTGGGAATCACTGGTCTAGTTAATGCCCAGAAATGGAATATAAAACTATTAGCTCGTTGTCAGCAGCTTTTGAATGTTGCGAGTTAACAGGTTACCAAAGTACAGCCAATTATTTGGAGAGAACATGTACTTTAGTGTGTTAGACTGACATGTGGGTGTTATCTACTGTAGCTGCAGACACATTCCCAGTGAGCTTTCAATTTTCCAGAAGTTGATGATAAATCCTGGAATTTTCCCCCCTCTTATCCTTCAGAGCGGTGCCAACGCTATCTACTACGCGGCCAGACACGGCCACGTGGAGACCCTGAAATTCCTCCACGAGAAGAAGTGTCCTCTGGACGTACAAGATAAGGTGAAGTTTTACTCTCACGTCCTGTCAGCGCACACACATCCCTGCTCAGAGTTAGCACGCTCTTAGCGATTAAGGGTTGTTCATTGACTCCTGCCTCATTAAAAGCTCTTGATAAATATTAGCCAGGCTCTCCAAAGTGAGTTAAACGCACACATAAACACTCAGACACGCACACTCACAAGGTGGCACTCAGCCAGGCGGCACCTGGAGAGGAAGAAGCAGTGACTTTGGCGCTTTATCAGCTTATTTGCCGTTGCCATAGAAACAGGTCCTGCTGAGAAATATGGGTGGTGTGAACGTGTGGGTGTTATGCTTTTAATGCTAGTTTGATGGTCTCCTCCATCACGGCTTACACGGAACACCAAATCCCAAAAGCATTTTTTTTTCTTTTTAGATTCTTCAATTGTTTGGCTTGAGAGAAAGTCATGTCTGTCTTTTTCTGAGCCAGTCGGCATCCCGAGGTATTTTCCAGATTATAGGTCAGCTTGTGTCTAGGAAACATAAGTTTAGTTTTACTTTTGTTTCACATTTAAAGCCAGGAAAGGGCAGACTGTGGTCCGCAGACTGGAGGCAGTCCATTTGACTGTAGACAATGTAGCCCAAACTGTGTAACAAAATTGTTCAAATTATACAACAACATTATATTACCTTTGTCTAGTTATAGTGACTATCATTTTACCTGTTTTGCATATTTGTAGGAGCAGATGGACAAACTGTGGCTTGCAGGCTGGATGCAGTCCATTTGACTCTCCAGTCTGGCCCTTCCAATTTCCTTTTTTTTTTTTTTTTCAAAAAAATGATCTTAAGAAAACTTTCTTATTCTAAAATAAATGGAAGATATTTGTATTCCTTGCATTTCCCGACCAGCAGTGAAAAATATGAAGTGGTGTTATTTCTAGTCAGCTCCATGGCTGACTGGAAGCCATAATGTAAGATGCTGATCAATCAAGGTCTGAGTCTGCAGGACAAGGTGAAGTGTTTGAAAAGCAGGAAAAAGCCATGAGGTAGCAGGAAGTGTTCAACGGCCGCTCCTTCGTATTTCCCAGCAGTAAACATATTTAGGTCCGTTAAGAACATTTTCAAAAGTGGATTTTTGAAATGAAGTCAATATAACGTTTTACTAAATTTTTCCCCTGCAGTGTGGAGAGACGGCGCTTCACGTGGCGGCCCGTTACGGTAACGTGGACGTGGTGAACTATCTGTGCAGCATCAGGGCCAACCCAGACGTGCCTGACAGGGTACAGTGCACGCTATCATTTTATCCATGTTCGGTACAACAAACCAATGTTATCTGTGTGACACAGTAAATTGACCTAAAAATAGATATTCTCACCAAACAAATGAAATAAAATTACATATCAGTGAATTTTCCTACTGTGACACAAGTAAAAATACTAAATTAATTTGACCTGCTTTTGCCCCCCTGTATTTACTATGTGTCACTCAAGGGCGCCCCCACCCCTGAAAACAAACCTTTGAGATTATAACATATTTTTTATAACTCTTTGACTTATCCTGGTATTTATACCATATGAAAAATGCTAATAAGTTCAACGACAACTTACACAAATCGTTTATAAAAATTCAACCAAACCATAATCAAAACCATTCACTTTCACCGTGCGTAGCAGGATTCACCCTTTGCTTCATGTCTTCGTCTCCAGGAACATGAGACACCGTTGCACTGTGCTGCCTGGCACGGATACTCGGCCGTGGCCCGAGCCCTCTGCCAGGTCGGCTGCCACGTGGATGTGAAGAACCGTGAAGGTGAGAGTCCTCTGCTGACGGCGTCTGCTCGAGGGTTTGTTGACATCGTGGAGTGTCTGCTGGATCACAAGGCTAACATAGAAGCCACAGACAAGGTAATGCACAGCAATGTAGTTACAGCAATGTTGATTTGGCAGTAACTTTCTTTACTAAATTTTACAACTGTATTTAAAATAAGTTATTTTAAAAAATATTACATTTCTTATCATTTTTTAAAATTAAAAAATAAATTTTAAAAATCACAAAATTTGTGCTAATGTTAAAAATACACAAGCTCCATGAACACATTTAAACACAAACACATTTACTTTTAACCAGTCATATTTAAAACCAGAAATTGTGGTCCAAACTGTGGTCTGCAGGCTGGATACAGTCCATTTGACTGTAAATAATTTGGGCCAAACTGTCTACAAAAATTTTCAAATTATATTAAAAAAAATTACATTAACTTCTAAGATAATAAGACAGGGTATTCAACTTTTAAAAATCTAATTTTTTTTTTAAAAAATCACAAAATTCGAGGTAATGTTAAAAATACACGAGCTCCATGAACACAATTAAACGCATTTATATATAACACATTTTGTTATTTTCCTGCAGGTCAACATCAGCATCTTCATAGATTAGTTTAGATTTTGGCTTTAGGCTTGTGAATAAAAATCTGAAATCTGAAAAATAAATCTGCACAAAAAGTTCATAATAGAACTTGATTGATGGAGGATGGATCTTTAATGTACATACATGACGTATGGTGTGTGTGTGTTTCCAGGACGGCCACTCTGCCCTCCATCTGGCTGTACGGAGGTGTCAAGTTGAAGTCGTCCACTGTCTCCTCAGACGTTGTTGCTGCGTGGACCATCAAGATCGCCACGGTAACTCACCCCTGCACATCGCCTGTAAGGACGGAAACCTCCCCATCGTCATGGCGATCTGCAACGCCAAAGCCAGCCTGGACCTGGCCAACAAGGTGAACAGAACAACACACCCCAAGTTGTATTTGAGTCACGGCAGAGAAAAGAAAAAACAAAGTGCTCTCCTGCTTTCAGTGTGGCTGGATGTATTGAGTTCTGATTGACTCTATCTGTGCTCCTGTTGTAAAATTGTATTTATAGTGGCCTCTGCTGGCAGTGTAGCGTCTCAAATACATGATATGCAGTTTGATTCCAAAGACACATCTTCCCACACACATTTCTACTCCGACGTTTTTATTTCGACACACTCTATTTTAATGGATTTAGTGATGGGATTACTTTTTTTTACACACACGAATATTTCTTCTCGCACAATTCAGACAGGGGGCGTACATCAGCAGACGACAGCAGCACTACCAGAAGTCATGTTTGCCTTTCTTCATCTGGCTTTAAAAAAACGTCATCAATCACCTCTGAGTCTAGATGTCAAAGATTTTTCTTGGCATAATTAAAATCCACTGTGTTTTATTTTATTATTTTTTTTAATCGTTATTCAAACCGGATCAGTTCTTTCTTTGTTTGACCATAATGTGACAGATGGAAAGTGGTGAAATTCCAGCGTCAAAGGATACAATTTTCAGCATTTGGAATGATTTTCTTTGTCTCCCTGCCATTAATAAAGGTTATATTTCAGTGTGTTTGCAGCGAGACAGGAGAATGTTGTGGTAAACACTCATTATTGGAGCTATTGCTGTTTTAATGTGTGCTGTGGGCATACTGACTTCCTGCTTCAGTCAGTCAGTCGGGGTGATTAAAAGCCGAGCAGACACTCTGGTGTGACGACGCCTCGTAGCCAATCAAACAGCTGAATGCAGAAATTATGGGTTTTATGGGACAGGGGAGGAAAAAGAGCCATTTTATCGACATCACTGTTGTGGCTTTGTCGTTGTATCAACGCTGAACAACTTAAAGAGGAAGTGATGATATTGAAATTTTAAAATCAGAGAATTAAATTTACATTCTCTAAGTATTCTGTCCTTTTTTTTGTCCTTTTTTACACCGTCCTCTCCAGGACTGGACCTAGACTTTTTAGTGCCTGTTTTTTTTTCGAGTGTTTAGTTTTTACTTTCGACGCAGCGCACCATGAGAGGGCGCCAGACCAGAATGTACAATACTGCTATCATTTCATATTTTTCTTCTTAGATGGAGTGTTCGTGTGAAATGTTTTAGCATTTTCGATGCCATCTTTTGGGTAAACGTGGGTATGGCAGGGAAATGTGGAAGAATAATGATAATATAAATCATTTATATAATTTGGAAAAGCTTGATGGGCCGGATTAAAAGATAAACGGGCCGCATCCGGCCCCCGGGCCGTAGTGTGCCCATGCCTGGACTAGCAGCTGTGGCTCCCTCCAACAGATGACGCCCTCTTTGTCTGACTACAAAGACAACCTCTGCCCCTCTCTACACAGATTTATTTGTCAAACCAGTGTTAATTTACTCTCTGACATTTTTAGATGAAGAGATAGATGTATATGTGCTTACAGGTATATCTTTGTACTTCACTAAAATAGTTCATCTGGCAACCTTGAACTGCTGAAAACCCAGAGAACGGTTTTGAATTAGCTCATACTCTGAGCTGTAAACAATGACAAATAACGCATCATTCTCTTCTTCTTTTGATGAACTGAAACTCTACCCCTTTCCTCCCTCCCCCAGTATGGCAGAACCCCCCTCCACCTGGCTGCTAACAACGGGAGTCTGGAGGTGGTCCGTCATCTCTGTCTGTCCGGCGCCAGCATTGATGTCGTCACAAACGTGAGTCCGTGCACAGTCACTTACCTACACTTGATAATAGCACCGATGCTAATGCTAGTGTGGTCAGCCCGTTAGCTTATACCAGAGAACAGCAGCGTGAACATATTTAGATGTATGTGTATGTATAGAGACATACAAATATATATACACATATTTATACAGACATACAGTACATACAGTATATTTACATATGTATTTATGTATGTATATCCATCCATCTATCCATCATCAACCGCTTATCCGGGGCCGGGTCGTGGGGGCAACAGTCTGAGCAGGGACACCCAGACTTCCCTGTCCCCTGACACTTCCTCTTCTGGGGGGACCCCAAGGCGTTCCCAGGCCAGCCGAGCGACGTAGTTCAGGATCTCGTTCTTTCGGTCATGACCCAGAGCTCATGACCATAGGTGAGGGTAGGAACGTAGATTGACCGGTAAATTGAGAGCTTTGCCTTTCGGCTCAGCTCCTTCTTCACCACAACGGACCGATACAGCGACCGCATTACTGCGGCCGCTGCACCGATCTGCCTGTCAATCTCACGCTCCATCCTACCCTCACTCGTGAACAAGACCCCAAGATATTTAAACTCCTCCACCTGAGGCAGGACTTCCTCCCCAACCCAGAGGGTGCATACCACCTTTTTCCGGTCGAGAACCATGGCCTCGGACTTAGAGGTGCTAATTCTCATCCCAGCTGCTTTACACTCTACTGCAAACTGCCCCAGTGCAGGCTGCAGGTCCTGGCTCGAAGAAGCCAACAAGACCACATCATCCGCAAAAAGCAGAGATGAAATCCGGTGGCTCCCAAACTGGACCCCACCGGACACCTGGCTGCGCCTAGAAATTCTGTCCATAAAGATACTGAACAGAACCGGCGACAAAGGGCAGCCCTGCCGTAGTCCCACATGCACCGGGAACAGGTCCGACTTACTGCCGGCAATGCGAACCAAGCTCCTACTCCGATCGTACAGGGACTGGACAGCCCTTAAAAGAGAGCCCCCAACCCCATACTCTCGAAGCACCCCCCACAGGATACCACGAGGGACACGATCGAAAGCCTTTTCCAAGTCCACAAAACACATGTGGACCGGTTGGGCAAACTCCCATGAACCCTCAAGCACCCTCTGAAGGGTATAGAGCTGGTCCAGTGTTCCACGACCAGGACGAAAACCGCATTGTTCCTCTTGAATCCGAGGTTCGACTATCGGCCGGATTTTCCTCTCCAGTACTCTGGAATAGACTTTTCCCGGGAGGCTGAGGAGTGTGATCCCCCGATAGTTGGAACACACCCTCCGGTCCCCTTTTTTGAAAAGAGGTACCACCACCCCGGTCTGCCAGTCCAGAGGTACTGTCCCCGACTGCCA